TATATATAAAATAAATAAATATGAAATAATATTAGCACTTCCAAGAAGGCACAAAAAGATACTCTGAAATCAGCAGCAATTCAGAAGTTATGGTTATGACCGTCACTAAGAAGTGTTAGGAGAGCATATCCTGAAGTCATACTCATTAAACATTTTCAGTCATTTTACCATTTTCTTCTCGTAATGTTCAGCTCCCCACCCTGTTTCAGAACTAAATCCAGACAAAACAAACATCACTGTATAAGTCTAAAGACTGAATAACAGCCCCAAGGCCAAGAAATGATCCATTCAGTTCGCAAAAGCAAGCACTGAAATAAGAAACATTTTACTAAATTTTCATATTAAGTGAAAATAATAACACACAGCTCTAGTTCTAATACAAGCAAAGAATGCTCACCAGTGAGTATTAGTAGTTATGCTTTACAAAGAAAACGTTTGCTAAATTTGACTGTACTGAGTTTATCTACTAGGAAGGACTGTCAAACTGAAAAACAAAGCTTGAAATCTGATCTCCTCTTATCTTGTCTAATTCTGACCAAAATCTAGTTCACTAGTCTAAGATGTTGTGGTCAGTTGACCTTGGCTGGATGCCAGCTGCCTACCCAAGCCACTCTCACTCCCCTTCCTCAGCTGGACAGGGGAGAGAAAATATAACAAAAAGCTTGTGGGATGAGATAAGGACAGGGAGATCACTCAGCAATTACTGTCACAGGCAAAACACACTTGAATTGGGGAAATTAATTAAATTTATTACCAATCAAATCAGAGTAGGGTAATGAGAAACAGAACTAAATCTTAAAACACTCTCCCCCCCACCCCTCCCTTCTTCCCAGGCTCAGCTTTGCTCCCGATTTCTCTGCCTCCTCCCTGTCAGCGGTGCAGGGGAAGAGGGAACATGGGTTGCAGTCAGTGCATCACATGTTGTCTCTGCCGCTCCTTCCTCCTCTGAGGGAAGACTCCTCATGCTCTTCCCCTTCTCCAGCATGGGGCCCCTTCCAAGGGAGACAGTCTTCCACAAACTTCTCCGACATGAGTCCTTTCCACAGGCTGCAGTTCTTCACAAACTGTTCCAGTGTGGGTTCTTTCCACTGGGTGCAGCCCTTCAGGAACAGACTGCTCCAGCATGGTTCCCCCGCAGGGTCACGAGTTCTGCCAGCAAACCTGCTACAGCCTGGGCTTCTCTCTCCAGGGGGCCACAGGTCCTGCCAGGAGCCTGCTCCAGCTTGGCCTTCCCACAGGGCCACAGCCTCCTTTGGGCACATCCACCTTCTCCAGCGTGGAGGTGTAGCTCTGCTGGCCCGTTACCTCCATGGCTGCAGGGCACAGCTGCCTCACAATGGGCTTGACCATGGGCTGTA